AATTCTGAAATTGAAATTCCTCAGCAATGAAGAGAAAAGGCGTTGTCAAACACCATTAAGATTAATTTGTTTTTCAAGATGGTTACTTCTAGAATTGACATTTCTCAACTGCGAAGAGAAAAAACACCACCAAACACCATTAAGATTAATTCATTTTCTATGTCGGTTGCTTCATATTCTAGACACACTGAAGTTCTTAATGAGACTGATGTGCAAGGTCTCAACCTTGTTCTTTATAAGTATCTTTTGTACTGGAATTTTCTATCTACTCCCCCGTTCGGAATTACTTGTCGCTCTATGTAGAACTTGGTTGGCCCCTCCCCCTATACCCAATCCTGGCTCTGCCCCTGTACCTATCAATGAAACAATGCGCACTCTAGCATATTCTAGTAAATAAGAATATCCCAGCTCGCATTGCAGAACACGCTGTCAAGTTTGTTCATAGGGTTTAGCTTCTCATTTGACCATGTGAATCACCGGTTCTGAATCTGTATCTCCCGAAGTCACACAGATGGAGAGTGTGCCGGAAGCGGTTGGTACACAACGGTTGGCATTATTTCTGTTTCTATCTATAGCTAGATAAATTTGGTTGAAATCCCCATTCACTAGCCATTTGGTGTTAGACAGCGGCTTGTGTGCAATCAGCTCACTGAAGAATTCACCTTTCCCTTCATTAGCCGTAGGGCCATAAACAGAAGTGAGGTGAAAGGAACACTTGCCACCTTGCAAAGCAATTGTGAGAGAAAGATCATAGACGCCCACTTCAGCGTCCGAAACCTGGAGCAAGTCCCCGTTCCAGATGATGGTTAGAGAAACTCCAATGGGGCAACCCATTTCGTCCCCGCCGCCCGTTTGGATCGGCACGGACACAAAAGTCGGCCCAACGCGCCGACCAAAACGGATGCGCGTCCGCCCAATTTTTAGCCGGATTTGCATTGGCGCAGGCACGAGATGGACGCACGCGCGCCTACTCCTCTCCTCGGGTCCGCCGGTCGGTGGCAGCCACCACCATTTAATCCCATTTCCCCCCAAAACCCTCCCGCTTGCGCGCGCTCCCGCCCCACGCCCGCCATGGATGACAACCTCGACCTCGCCGCCGCCGCCGGCCTCACCTCCCTCGCCTGGTCCAGCAAAGGCAAGCCTCACGCCCCCCGAAAGGCCGCCGCGCCGAAGCCGAAGAAGGTGCTAACGCCCGAATAGCGGGCAAAGGAGTCGGCCAAGAGGAAGGACCGGAGGCACACGGCGGACACGGGGGATGAAGCCATCGTGGTGGCCGCCGTCGCTGCCGCCGCGCAGCAGCAAGTTACCAACACCCGCATCGCGGCAGCAATAAGGGAGGTGCTCTACATGATGGGGTTAAACCCTAGCCAGCACGGCCTCGTCAATGCCGCCGTGGCCGCCGCGGTCAGCACCGGCTCATCCGCCTTCCCTCGGACGGTGATGCCCGACTCGCCTCGCAGCATCATCCAAAGTTTTGGCGAATCGTTTGAAGTCAATTTTGCCAGTGCTGGTGTTAGAGTGTCAGAGTGCTTTTGTTCCCGGAAGGTTGATCACAGACAACACCTTGATTGCTTATGAATGCCTACACACAATCCGACACCAACGAGTGAAGAAGCCCTTCTTTGCCCTGAAGATAGACACGATGCAGGCTTATGATTGCATGGAGTGGAGCTATCTCCATGACTGTTTAACTAAGTTGGGTTTTGCTTCTTCCTGGATCGAGGCGGTGATGCGATGTGTTACTAATGTCCGTTATGCTGCCAAAGTCAATGGAGAATTAAAAGAAACGATGGTACCATCTTGTGGCCTTAGGCAAGGAGACCCAATCAGCCCATATCTCTTTCTCTTATGCATGGAAGGTTTATCAAGTATGCTATTTCAAAAGGAGGCTAGTGGCAAGCTACATGGGATTCGAAATGGCCGTCATGGTCCGTCTATCTCACACCTCCTGTTCGTAGATGATAGCATCTTCTTTGCTAAGAGTGATTTTAAGAGTGTGGCATCTTTGGTGCCTTCAGCTTACATTGTTCGGGTTCGGGGCAAGCAATTAACAAGGACAAGTCATCGGTGTTCTTTGGTAAGCACTGTCCTGTTAGTGTCAAAAATCGTGTGAAGTCTCAACTGGATATTTTCAACGAGATGTTTCATGATTCTTATCTGGGTATGCCTACAGATGTTGGAAGATCTCCCACAAGCACTTTCAAATTTCTTCCGGATAGGGCGTGGCAGAATATCCATGGCTGGTCAGATCAGCCGTTGTCAAGAGCAGGAACTAAAACTTTACTTAAGTCCAAGACTCGGGCTATTCCCACTTTCATTTCGATTTGTTTCTATTTGCCGGTTGCTACTTGCGAGAAGTTCCGACAGATTGTGTCGACCAGTGGTGGGGGCGTGAGGATGGTAAAAAGAAAATGCATTGGCGTTCTTGGGATTGGCCATCGGCCCCTAAATCCCTTGGAGGAATGGGTTTCAAGGATTTGACACTGTTCAATTAGGCGATGTTGGGAAAACAAGGCTGGGGACTGCTGACTGATCCTGGGTCGCTATGTGCGCAAGTTTTGAAAGGAAGGTATTTCCTGTTCGGTGATTTTTGGAATGCCGTTTCTCCTTGCCCAGCCTCGGGAACTTGGCGTGCCATTTTGCATGGCCGAGACCTGTTGAAGAAGGGTGTCCAATTGGGTATTGGGGATGGAAAAAGTATCCATATTCTCAAGGATAATTGGATTCCCTCTACCCCTCCAACCTTACTTCGGCCCTTATCTCCTATCCTAGAGTCTGCCAAGGTTCATTGCTTGATCAATGAGGATATTGGGTGTTTGAATGTGGATATTGTGAGATCTTTCTTCATAGAGGAGGTAGACAATGATATTGTCCAAATTCCAATAAACTTGGCGGGCGGACCGGACTTTGTGCGCTGGCCTTTCACTAGATTTGGTGAATACACTGTCCGTTCTGCTTATAACATGGCTAGGACGAGCCATTTCTTGTCTGACCGGAGTGGCAATGGTGGGGGGCAGCACTCCAGTTGGTCTTTGGAGGAAAAGTTATGGAAGAAGCTTTGGAATATCAAGGCTCCAAACAAGATGAAAGTGATGCTCTAGCGGTTTGCTCATGATTGCCTACCCTTGGGGAGCAACTTCTCCGCTGCCAGGTGCCAACGAGGACTGACTGTTCCTTGTGCGCCCGATCGGAAGGCATTGAGCATGCTTTGCTTTTTTGTGGACATGCCCGTGCTATCTGGGAGGAGATCAAGGATGGGTTTGGGATCAAGCTGTATCGCTCTTCCTTTACATCTCCAAAGCAATGGTTGTTCAACTTCCTATCCTATGGATCTGATCGAGATGTCTCTATCCTGACTGTCACTCTGCGGCACATCTGGGAGGCTCGGAATTCTACTTGTAATGAACTTGTTGCTCCTCTCCCGAAGCATACGGCTGCGAGGGCGCGTGCTTATATTGATATGATCTTGCAGCATCTTTTCAAAACTCATCCTACTGCTAGACGTGAGATCCCTGCTTCTAGCTCTCATTGCTCTCCGCCAACGCATGGTACTTTGCTGTTGTCTTCAGATGCAGCTGTTTCGCTGGACCGGGGCTCTTCGGCAATAGGCGTGGTGATTCAGGACCATACCGTCCGGTGTGTTGCTGCTGCTTATTCAGAACCCTTGCCGGGTGTTTCATCCCCGGAAGTGGCAGAGGCGATGGCTCTTCGTAGTGTGGTTACTTTGGCTCGCCAAGAGAACTATATGCATGTGATCTTCCAATCCGATTGCCTCTCGGTGGTGCAAAGGTTGCATTCTTCTGCACAAGAACGCTCAATTGTGGGTTCTATAATCGCTGATATCAAGATGGCGTGTGGGGCTTTGTCTTCTGTGACTTTCAAGCATGTTCATCGGCAATGTAATGTTTTAGCTAGATCTAGTCTGAACTCTATGAGTCTTTGTATTTTCCATTCTGCTCCAGATTGTATCCGGGAGACTCTGTGTAACTTAATTAGTTGCTTAATCAATAAAGGCCGATGTTCTCTCAAAAAAAGTCCTCGTTCTGGATGATGGTTATCCCTTTCCCGGGTGCCAGTGGCCGGGCGTTGTGCAAAACCTTTCATTCTTTGCCTCCAATGTCCGACGATGGCAGTCTTGACGAGCAGAAAAAAAGAAGAAGCAAAGATTATAAACAGTTAAAACTCGATTTAGTGAAAGCAATTAAACACAACGAGATATCAATAGTCCAATCATTGACAAACGAGACTTAGTAGGAGGCACGACCAAATTCAAGAAAGATGTGACAGTTTCCCCTTGCAAGATCGTGCATGACATGGTACTCTTGCCAGTTGCGCAAATGTATAATGTTTATGATTTCGCCATGGCGTGCACGCTTACACAACTATATATAGAACCATAGAATGTACTTCCTCCGTTCTTAAATATAAGTCTTTTTAGAGATTTTTATATAGACTAGATACGGATGTATATGGACGTATAATAGAGTGTAGATTCACTTATTTTGTTTCGTATATAGTTCATTGAACTCTCTAAACATATTTATATTTAGAAATGGAGGGAGCAATTATTAGGCATTCAAATTTGGAACCTTTAGGATGCCCTCCGAGCCCTACTTAGTTCAACTAAATGAACTAGTTTTTCAAAACTGAGGGCCGGATGGTACCTAAAGTTCCAAAGTTGCATGCTTAGTAATTATCCACTTCAACTGCTATTTTGACGTAGGAGTATATCCACTTTAACAATACGCCTGTGACTGCCTGTCACTGCCACGCAGCAATGTCAATGGATCAGGTGACTGGCAAGATGTGTCTGTTTATCGTTTTTAATTTCCACACGCTGGACACGCGTGATAGCGCCATGCCCTTGCTTGTTCAACTCGCACCGACGCACGTACCCAGGCGAGCAGCTATATATGTGCCGCTAATAGTACTTGCTGGATGCACACTGCTTGAACGAAGCACCATATATAAAAACATCTCAGATAGCTAGAGGGAGAGTGATGAAGGTAGCAACAATGGCGGCCCAGGCTCAGCAATTGACCGTTCCCACCGAGGCGGAGCTTCTGCAGGGGCAGGCCGACCTTTGGCGCCACAGCCTCTACTACATGACCTCCATGGCATTCCAGTGCGCCGTCAAGCTCGGCGTCCCGACCACCATCCACAGCCTGGGTGGCGCGGCATCGCTGCCTGATCTGGTCACCGCACTGTCCCTTCCACCCGCCAAACTGCCTTACCTCCGTCGCATCATGCGGCTGCTGGCCACGTCCGGCGTCTTCGCCGCCGACAACGCCGCCGACGTGGTCACCTACTACCGCCTGACCCCCCTGTCCTGGCTCCTCCTTGACGGCGTCGCCGTAGATGGCCACCCAAGCCAAACCTCCATTGTGCTTGCCGCAACCTCGAGGCACTGCCTTGAGGCTGCCATGGGGCTCTCCGACTGGTTCCAGAAGGACGTCGTGGCGTCGCCGTTCGAGGATCTCCATGGTGTGACCCTCTTCGACGAGAGCATGGCGAAACATGACCCTGAGGTCGACGCCGTGTTCAACGAAGCCCTGGCGTCCCATGATAATTCCGGGTTCCTCACGGTCTTGCGGGAGTGCGGCGCCCTCTTCCAGGGGCTGGAGTCCCTGACCGACTGCTGTGGCGGCGACGGCACGACCGCAAGGGCCATCGTGGAGGCCTTTCCGCAAATCAAGTGCACCGTGCTCGACCTTCCGCGGGTGATCGACAATGTCCCTGCCGACGGTGTCGTTAACTACCTGGCCGGTGACATGTTCAAGTCCGTCCCACCTGCTCAGGCTGTGTTGATCAAGGTACAACATATAGCCAACAGATGCGAAATTCCTCTCTTGTCCATTTTATATTTCACTTTGTTACTAAAGTTGTACGAAAATTTCCCTACATATATAGCTTGTGCTGCACCACTGGAGTGATGAGGACTGCATGAAGATCCTTGCTCAATGCAAGAAGGCCATCCCTTCGCGGGAAGAGGGAGGGAAAGTGATTGTGATCGACATAGTTGTAGACTCTTCTTCGGGACCAACGCACGAAGCAGAGCTCCTGATGGATGTAGCCATGATGGTGATGACCAATGGCCGGCAGCGAGATGAAACTGACTGGAGCGAGATATTCACCAAGGCAGGATTCAGTGACTACAAACTTGTGAAGAAACTGGGAGCTCGAGGTGTCTTTGAGGTCTACCCGTGAGACAGGCCCAAAAATACGTATTATAATTTGTGGTTTGGTTCAGAAGATGTGCTCTATGGGGACTGTCTTACTTTGTCAGGTACGTTTCAAGGAGGATACAAGGTACGAGCGAGCATATGGAGTGCTATGCATATGGGTGTCATGCATTCTTGGTAACTTTCCGATCGGTAAAATTTTCATTCGATTAAGTACGAAAGCACTCGGTATGCTTTTCCGTGTATCATGTACACGGTTACTACAACCAGAATGTGATGTTTGTTGATGTCGATACCATGTAATACTCAATTGTTGCATGTAAACTATCACTTATGATGTCTAATATGTCAAGTTTGTGTTGAATACATGTATATATTGGAGTAATCCAAATGTATTTGGATAGGAGTTGGGTCGTTTTCCCACACCATATCCCGAGTTGTAATCAGCAAGTTGGTCTTTGTGATGCGTTTTCGTGTACGCATATTCTTGTCTTGGTGCCAGCATGAGCGCCAAACCAAATGCTAGCACACATATTATAAACATATATGGCGATTCAACAACCATGATCTGTTTAGTATTGGTGTGAGGATTTAATGGCTGTGACATGTGTACAGTTATGAAGACCTGACGACCATGACCGTTTATGAACTTATGAAATCTAATAATGACTGATATATTTAGGTACAACTATAAATATCAAATGGTTGTTATAAACGATTATGAAGGTCCACCAAATCAATGGTTGGATGTCATGGTGGGACTCGGCTAGCCAATTATTTCGACCACTAGCAAGTTGTGCTCCATTTTCCTATTTTGTGCGTGTTAGTGCGAGTTGCGTTGTAAGCTGCTCCATCGGCCCTTGTATCCTTTTCTTATTTGTTTGCTTTGTTGGTTCTATGTGATGCCTGGCCGGTTGATGGCTTTGTTAATTCAAAGTCGGGCTCTTCTTGAGCCTTTGTTCTAAAAAATATTATTTCGACCACCCCCCCAGTGCAAACATTGTGATATCTTTTTCTTCATGGTGGGTGTGCATGTAGTGGTTGGCCAGGATAGTTGGGCATTGTTCTTCTTCATTCCCTTTTCAAGTGGTGATGTGTGTGCTTGTACTGCCATTGTAACTTATTGTATCATGATGTTTACTTTGTCAGGTAAGTTTGTGGGTTAATACAAGGTACATGCGAGCATATGAAGTGTTATGTATAATGTGGAGCGCTATGCATTCTTGGTTTCTTTCCGGTCGGTAAAACTTCCACCGGGGGAAATACTAAAGCACACGGTGTGCTTTACATTGTATATCATGTTCACGTTTACTGCAACCTGAATATAATATTTGTCGATATGGATATCATGTATTCCATCCATTCCTTTATATAAGGTGTATTTGTTTTTTTTAATGCAAACGAATGCATGTTTGACCGAGTTTTAGAAAAATATACCAGTATCGACAATATGAAATGTGTATCATTTGATCCATTATGAAAAGTAGTTTCATATTTTATTATTAGGTATTGCAGGTGTTGTTATTGTATTCTATAATCTTGGCCAAACATTCAAATGGTTGACTTGCACGAAAACCAATACACGTTATATCCTTGGACGGAGGGAGTGATACCCAATTGTCTCATGAAAACTATCACCTATGATGTCTAATATGTTGATTTTGTGCTGAATACATGTATATGTTGGAGTAATCCAAAGGTGTTTCGATAGGAGTTGGGTCGTTTTCCCACACCAGGTTGTAATTAGCAAGTTGGTCTGTGTGATGCGTTTTTCGGTCCTAGTGCCGCTATGAGAGCCAAACCAAATATGCTAGAACACATAAACATATAACGATTCAACAACTATAATCTGTTTAGTATTGGGAGTACATAGCAAAAAAAACTACCACATTACGGGCTAGGGTTACAAAAAAACTACCACTTAACTACCACAAAATTGGTTGGTTGTTCCAAAAAAAACTAGTGACTGAATGGTTATTGTTTTAATCCGGATTATGGCATGGAGGGTACGGGCTAGGGTTACAAAAAAACTATCACTTTTCTTAATTTTTCAAAAAATTACCACATAATTGGTTGGTTGTTCAAAAAAACCAAATGACTGAATGGTTATTGTCTTAATCCGGATTATGACATGGAGGGCCCACTTGTCAGCTCCATGTGGCAAAAAAGTCAACACCATTATGTAAACAATTAGTTGACCGTTATGACCAGGTGGGGCCCACATGTCATCTTCTTCTCCTCCTCCATTTTCTTCCGTATCCCATCGAGCAGCCCCACCCCACCCCTACCGCCTGAGCACCGCGCCCGCGAGCAGCCCCACCCCCACCCCAGTAGCCATTGCATGCTGCTGCTGCCCGCCACTGTTGTGTGCTTCTGCTGCTGCCCGCCGCCACCATTGCTGCTGTGTGTAGCTGCTGTCCACCATCGGTACATGTTGTTGCTCGTCGTAGCCACGTCGTACTGCTATCCGCTGCCTCCTGCTACTTGCCGCTGCTGTTGCATGCTGCTTGCAACCGCTCTTCGCCGCTGCGTGCTCCTCGGACCACCGCGCCTAGGAGCTTGCGCGGCCATACTGGCCACGCCCAGGAGCTCATGTCGTCGCGCCCAGCAGCTGGAGCAGCCGCTGACCATGCCTAGGAGCTGCGGCCACCATGCCTAGGAGCTCAAGACGCTACTATAGAAGGTCGGCCGACAACGGCAGAACAACGGGAGCAGCAGCCCCGCCACGTGCAGCAGCCTGCACACCCTTGAGCTCCGACGCCAGAGCAAGGCCGACCGATGCAAGCATGTCTCTTCGTCTTCTCTGGCGAGCTCGTCGGTGACGGGACCTGATTGGTTTTTATATTTTATGGAAATGACCCGATTGCTTTTAAAAAAATTATAGGGACCTGATTGCTTTTAATTTTTTGTAGGGACCTAATTGCCTTCTAAAAATATGTGGGGACCACTTGTCATAACCTTTCAATGGTCAAACTAACATTCAAATCTAACAGTCAACCTGACGGGTGGGCCAGACATGTCATAATCTTGCTTAAAAACGGTTCAGGCACTTGGTTTTTTTGGAACAACCAACCAATTTTGTGGTAGTCTTTTGTAACCCTAGCCGTAATGTGGTAGTTTTTTGCTATAAACTCTTAGTATTGGCATGATGATTTAATGGCTGCGACATGTGTACAATTATGAAGATCTGACGACCATGACTGTGTATGTACTTATGAAATCTAATTATGACTATGATATAGTAGTTAGGTGCAACAATAAATATCAAATCATTGTTATACATTGATTATAAAGGTTCACCAAATCAATAGCTGGATGTCATAGTGGGGTTCGGCTAACCAATCATTTTGACCACTCCGGCAATGCAAACATTGTGATGTCTTTTGTCATTGGCATGTTGTTCCAATTCTTTCGTGGTGGGTGTGCTTGTGGTTTTCGTTCTTCTTCATTATCTTTTCAAGTGGTGATGTGTGTGCTTGTACTGCCACTGTAACTTCTATTGTATCATGATTTTTTTCATTTAACTGAAATGGTTCAGACAAACTAATGCCCGCCATAGTTCACCTAAAAAATATTGGATGTTATTCTTTCTTTAAGAATTTCTAGTAAACCTATGTCACCTTATGAATGGTTACTAAGATTTAACGACACAATATGTTTATGTACATTTTTGAATATATAGTTGTCAGTTGTGATCCATTGATTGCAAAAGGGTCAACCAAATCAATTGCTTGATGTTCTACCTTTTTGAGTAATATAAGGTGATCTCTCTTTAATTTGTTGTATTGTGCTTTTAGTAAATGCTATCAAAGATGTAATTGGTCATGATATGTTTGGATATATTTATGAAGATCTCGTGGTTGTGATCTATTTAGGTATGTTATGAAGATCTACTAGTTATGATGTTTTTTGGAACAATATGCATATCAAACAATTATATCTAACATAAAGGTAGAGAGTGGGCAGTGTAACCTCTCAAGTTCCTTGTAACCTACACCATACCGTTTTTTATTCAGCCATTGGGAACAGGTTTTGAAAAATGGGCGAGTGCAATAGCGAATAAAAAGAACCAAAACGTAAAAACCATATCGGTGATTGGCCATGGATCTTGAGATTTCATTCATAAAGGTCTCAACAACTTTGTGGAGTTCAGAAGATTGATCCATTTGAACTGAAGGATATAGACACCAATATAATTCACATGAACTATACATGAATTTATATTATTACCATCAAAGAAGATGCAAACAGCTACAATAAAGGCAAAGCATCAGCTAGATCACTCATTCTAGAGACAAGCTTAAACAATAAACCAGAAAGATCTTTTCACCCTTTTTAACCATTTTCCTAATCATCCCAAGCTATTGTAGTTTATGGAACCATCATAATTTCATCACCATTGCGACAGAGATTCTTTAATTTATATGCCAAATATATGATTAGTCTTGCTTTGAAATGCATACATAGTAAAATGCTATCCTTTTTACAAATAATAGTAAAAAGAAGAGCCAAATTTTCTTTGTTCTCATATCAGTCATAAGTCATCTTAGAGGCAATCAAAAGGTTTTTGAATAAATGAATAAATAATTACCTACAGTAGTTTATTCTTTTACTTCTATTCAATTTCAAGAAAGGGAAGGGATTTAATTTTATATCACAATTGATGAGGAGCAGAGAAAAGGCTACAAACACTAAACTTTCAAGCATGATATGTATGTGCATAACTCTAGAGTTGGATCCTGATTCTAGGCAACTAAAAGGTAAAAGATAAACAAATTTATATGGCCAGATTTATATACCCTAAGCTTTTGTTTGACACTTAAAATCGGCTTAGGTTCCTCACAAAAAATCGGCCTAGGTTATCTATACCAGGAAAAAACGCAATATACAGAAATTGTGTAGTGAGTTGCTTTTATTATTTGTTACACGTGATATCTAAATATAGCTTGAGTTAGCAAAAGCAATACTCCAGCTAGATATTGAATCATGAAACAAGTAGTCAGTGTTGCAGTCCTTTACTCCTTG